TTCATACTGCTCTTGTGTCAGGAGCCCTTCTGTTATGCTCTTGCTTTCTTCAAATTTGGGTAAGACGACTGCAATGTAGCCTTCAGTGGATGGCTTCTCTTGCAGAATGGACGGCTTACGGAGAATGTTTTCATTCACTTCCATCAACCGTCCTCGAACACAGCTAGAGACAGTGTATTCTTCTCCATCTGCACAGTGAATCTTACACAGAGGTGCGAGTTCTGTTAGAAACTGTGCCCCCCGCTTAAATTTCCCAGAGACCTTGTTCTGAAGTCTGCTACAGTTGGTGCTGATCTGATAGGAAATGCTTTCGATCGTTTTTCCACTTTGAAGAACTGGATGAGATCCTGCCAATGTGATGACACATATTCGGTTAGAATGCTGCAATACACAGTGGTCCTCACAGGGTTTCCCTTTGACATCTGCCTTGTACCAGCGAGTGAAGTACCGATCGACTAGCGACGGGATAGATGGCGCAGCGGCCGCAGACTCCGTAGCCATGGCGACCTCCAGCGTGGCTACCCCGCCCTCGGAAATTTTCACTATTTACACAGTGTAGTAAAAATACCAAAAAGTCACTGATTTGCTCAGGCACAGTGGCCCGTGTCCTGTACCCCAGCATCAGACAAATCATAGTGGCTGACCTCAATATGAATGGCAGTCCCATTCCCCTTCACAAGGGATTGGTTTGGGAGTAAACAAATGACCTAATTCTGGCCACTGAGACGAAAGGAGCTGCTAGAGGTCTTGGAAGCAAAGTTAAATGAGACTAAAAGGTTATTAAATGAAACAATTTCACTACCAAGGCACAAGATGAAAATCATTCTGTGATTTCTGAAGATGATCTTTAATTACTTCCCAGCCAGATTCGATTCTCCTCCTTTTGCAAGGTGTACTGCAGTCACTAAATTCTCTTTGTGTAGTAGTATAAGACTGAGAAATCTCCAGAAATTGGGTATTTTCATTAAAAACCTAAAAAAATAACAAAAGAAAAAAATGTTTTTTCTGATAGTGTTTTTTAATACGTCATCTAGAAAAAAAAAGTTACTCCTGAACTAAAAATACAAGTCAGTCATAAGGAAGAATAATAAATTACAAAAATATACAGTATACAGGTATACCTTGGAGATTTTGCAGGTTCAGTTCCAAGCCACAGCAATAAAGATACAAAGCAAGTAATATGAATTTTTGGTGTTCTAGTACATATAAAGGTTATTTTCATACATCCTGTAGTCTATTCAGTATGTGCAACATTACAGAAAATAGGGTAAAAAGTATAAAAATTACCAAAACGTGACAAAGGCATAAGTTGTTGGGAAAATATTGACAACAGACTTGCTCACCGCAGGGTTACCACAACCTTCAATGTGTAAAGCTGACGCACAATAAAACGAAGGGCAATAAAGTGAACTATGTCTGTATCAGTATGATAATACAGTGAGAATCAAATATACTGAAATAAATACAATGGCTCTTTAAAAGGAGGTGCTATAACAAGTAACATACCAGTTTTATTTCCTGGAAACATTTACTAAAAGCACCAACACATCTAAAAGTAAATCAAAGCCTACTTTTTCAAAAGGACGAAATCTTTAATTTGTCATTATGAAAATGTTTAACGTAGTAAAATTACTATCTAGGACTGTTAACCAAATCTCTGGGAAGAAATTTGTATGCACAAAACATTAGGTCACCAACTGATGAATGAATGAATAAATAGACAAAAAAAATTAACGTAGCCATACATTTCAGCCATGACAAGGAATATGTATTGATAAATGGCCAAATATGGATGAATCTTGAAAACTTTATGCTAACTCAGTGATCCTCAACCTTCCTAAGGTCACGACCCTTTAGTCAGTTCCTTATGTTGTGGTGACCCCCCCCCCCAATTAAATTATTTTCGTTGCTACTTCATAACTGTAATGTTGTTACTGTTATGAATCGGGCAACCCCTGTGAAAGGGTTGTTCGACCCCCAAAGAAGTTGCGACCCCCAGGTTGAGAACCGCTGTGCTGAATGAAACAAGGCACACTCTAAAGGACATACAGTACAGGTTTCTCTCTACAGAAATGTCTAAATTAAGCTTTATTTGGATATTTCCCCTAGAGACAGAAAGTGGATTAGTGGTTATGAGGGGCTAGGGCAAGGGGACAAATCAGGACTGACCACTAATA